TTAATATAGCAATTGAAGAATTGTTATAAGCGGACTTCAACCAAAGGACTTAATTCAGAGAATATATTAAATAAATTATTTATTGTATTTGATTTTTAAAAGATGATTAAAGTTAGTGATAATTTTTTTACTATGCGGACTGTGCACAGCACACAGAAATAAAATTTTGCGCATATTTTTTTTGAATAGATGTGCGGATGCTGCACAGAAAAATTAGCATTTTGCAAGTAGTGCGCACAGTTGCAAATAGTTTCTCGTGTTTTTTTTATTTGCCGCACAGAAAGGATCTATAAATTGTGCGGCATCCGCACAGTAAATTTTAATTTTTGAAAAATTAACACTGATTAATGTCACGTTATCCTACAAAAAATATTTTTAGATTCAGTCGAATTCTCAACAACTTGTTTCCACCTTCCAATTTTTTCGATTTTATCATCGAAAAATTTTTTATCCTTTCCTGGAAATCGTAATTTCCATCGCTTAAGAAATTTGATACGTTGTTTAAATTCATGTCTCCAATAGTCTTTTCCTGTTCTATTAACTCTACTTCTCTTAATAACGGTGGGTCTTCTCGTCATAGAAATATTAGATCTTCTCTTCGTGGTCTTACTTTTTCTAGGAGGCATTTTTTTTTAGGAAAAAATAACCGCTCAGATTTGATTTATAATCTCTTTAAATACTATCATCACAGCGGTTTAAATAATAATATAATTCTTATTATAGTGATATTCCCCTGAATATCGGGACGAACTCAATCCTTTATTGTAGCCAAGGATCCTGCCTCTGGTCGAGATTCTGGCACTCCGTCACAAGTTCATCCGAACCTTAAACAATAAAGTATCAAAAATGAATATCTGTAATATAAAAAATATAAAGAAATAAAGATAATAATAATAACTTCCCTTAAATAATGTATAAAAAAGCAATATCTTCAGGAAAACTGATTATCTGTACTTAAATATTTGCATGTCGAGTTACCTATGAGACATTTAGTTGTAAATAAAGATAATGTAAAAATAATTCCAGTATGCAACAATTATTATTATGTAATT